GAGTATATAAAATACCTCGCTCAACTTCTGGCATCTAGTAAAAGTGCTCAAAAACGTTAGTAGATAAAAAAATTGTTTTCTAAGTTTCAATGTTCAGCCAGCCTTATCCCTCTTTGGCTATGTACCCAAAGGAAATGAAATCAGTACCTCCAAGAGACAATCTGCACTTCCCAGTTCAGTGGAGCATTACTGACAGTAGCCAAGATATGGAACAACCACTGTCCATCAACAGATGAATAAATTGATCATACACATACACACACACACACACACACACACACACACACACAGAAAACACATATACATGAAGTGTATATCTACACACAATGGAATATTATTCAGACTTTAAAAAGGAGACCCTGCCATTTGCAATGATATGGATAAACCCAGAGGGCATTATGCTAAGTAAAATAAGCCATACACACAAAGGGAAAAAAAAAAACTGTATTTCACTTATATGTGGAATCCAAAAATGTCAAATACACAGAGGCAGAGTAGGATACGTAGAGTAGGATGGTGATTATTGGGAGTGGGGGAAATGTTGAGATGTTAATTGAAGTGTACAAACTTTGTTATCAGATGAATTAAGTCTAGAGATCTCATGTACAGTATGAAGACGATGACAATAATACTATCTTGAATACTGGAAATTTGCTAAGAAAGTAGCTTTCAGGTGTTCTCATCACACAGATACATAAGGTAACTATGTGAGATGATACATTGATTAGCTTGATTATAATTATTCGCTATACATAAATTCCAAATCATATTGTACACCTAAAATATATATAAATATTATTAAAAAGTAAAATTGAGTCAGCCTTGGTACCTTTCATTGGTTAGCTGGTTGTAGGGGCTAGTGTAGGGAACTGTAGGAGAAGATTCCTTCCCACCTTCTCTTGGCTAAATGTAATACATATTTAAGGTCGAGAACATGCCATTTAAGAGGTTGTGGTAAATTATTTTGTATACCAGACTTTCCTGAAATAAAACAAATGTATGCACACATCTTTTAAATCGTTTTGCAAATTGAGAGTTTATAGATTTCTTAAGGGCACCTCTCTAGTCATTTCTTAGTTTGACATGCATCTAACAAAATGCAATTCTTGGGATTTTTCTCCTAACAAATTCAAAACCACTGATTTAAAACCTAAAAAGTGAAAGTGGGAAACCTGAAGTGTTTCAATTACTACAGTTTTCCACTCACAGACTGCAGCTACCTGGTTCATCTCCTGATCTCATCTCAGGAAAGAGAGACATTATGCTTGGAGAACAAAGTCAATTTAGAACAATGTTAATTCAAAGTCATGCAAACCATTTGGCAAAGAAAATTTAAGCAATTACTTGTTAATTGCTTAGAAGTACAAAGTATCAATGCCCACATGTATTACTAGTCCAAGGAAAGCCCAGACTTCCCCTTTGCAAAGTTTATGAAAACTGCAAGCAAAACCAGTTTGCTTCCACCCTAACCTCACTTTTTAGGTTCTGGTCTTTAACTGATTTGAAAAAAAATCTGTCTGCATATACAAACACATTCATACATGTAGGTATATACATATATTTCTGCTTGAAACACATAATGCCTTATGCTTAAAAGTAGTTAATATTCAAACAGATATGTCTCTCAATATTCATCAATTTACTGGGGCAGAAAAGTTGCCTTTTAAGACACAATAGTTTCAGGTTTTCAATCAACTATTCTTAGTCATTATTGGTAAGAACTCAAGTTCAGCCAAATTTTGAGTATTAGGAACACCGGTTCGCTTTTAAGTATTCAAAAAAAAAAGGCAAAATATAATTATCACAGTTTTTTTTTTTTGTTGTTGTTGTTTAAAGTACATAGTACACTAAGGATTGTTTGGACACAAGTCATTTTTTCTTTTTCTTTTTTTTAATAAACAGCGTGATGTTACAGACTGCAAAGTTAAAAGAAAAGCAGACATTGACAGTTTCTGATGAGCACAAACAGTAAGTGCAGTCACAGGCCAAACTTCTTGCTAGGAACAGCAAGACTGGGAAGAGGTCTTAAATTTAGTGACACTATTATTCTATATTCTCAGTATAGTAACACATGCATCTTGCTGTGTCAAATCCTATTTGGGCCATCATTAAAAGAACATTTAAAAACATTCTTCTCCTAATGAATGCATTATACCATAGGATTTCAATTCACTGAATGACAAAATATAGAGAAATAGATTTGGTACAACAAAAGGGGCCAAAAAAGGGTGGTGGGGGCTTCTTCCAGAACAAAGTCAACATTTGATGTGTTAGTAGTCTTCTTTTGGTAGTGCCACATTCCCCAAAATATTAAAGTGCTCTGTTCCAGAAGGATATATTTAGATTTTATTCAACCCAATTAAGCCCAAGGACTAAGTCACATTGAAACTATTAATTGTATTTGAAACTTAGGTTCCATAGCCAAAAACATTTCTAGAAACCACATGAAGTTCAAGCTGTCCAACCACTCTTTGGAACAAAAATTAAAACTGATAAGGGGCTTTTTCTTATGAAATTGGTAGATCATGATGACTACATTTGGAAATTCATACTAGAATGAAGAAGTTTAGTCTTATTAAAGATACTTCGAGAAAATATAAAACAATGAAACTTTTCTGCTTCCTTGTTTACCTAAAAGGAGGAACAAAAATAAGAATCACCTAAAAATATACATGGCTCTTAGCATAACCACAAAATTATTGTAGTGACAGATTAAACAAGGTTTCAGATAGATTTATAGACTTAATTGGCTTACAAAATGCATTAAAAAAACCTTTCCATACTTACCAACATGAAGAATGGTGTCTACTGTTGGGTCTACTGTTGGTAGTAAAAATCAGTTACCTAAACTACCTAAACGTACAATAGACTGATTCCCACCCCTCCAACCCCCCCAACCCGCCCACTAAAACTCATTATGTAGTTGTGTAAAAATTAAGTCAGAAAATTTCCTTATGGCTCATAACTGTCATTTTATGCTAACTAGCATGACTGTAGTATTAACATGTCTAAAACTAAGGAAAAGGAATGGCGCTTCATGAATAAAAAGGAAGTGTGAAACTTTTATCAGTGGAATACTTGGACAAAATAAGCTTATTTAGAAACTAACATCCCAACCTGGGAAACTTCTAATAGATTCTAAACACTTCTAAACTTTAGAACCTGATGTTTACACCTTTTATAAAAGATGCCTCTTGACTAGGGCTAGCAAGCAGTGTGTACACAAGTAGAAATGTGTGCAAATATACACACACCAATTTCACTAATAAGAAAAGAGAACATAACTAATTTTGAATGCCAAATTCAAGAATCCAGTACCATAAGCCTCCTGGAGCTACAGTCTTTTCCATGGCTGGAGTAATGATCACATTTTAACCAAAAATTTTTCTCAAGTCTCCAATGCCATTAAAAATATGGCATGCCAACTCTTGACTTTTATAAATCTAAACTACAGTGCTCTGGAAATTTCTGTAACATCAGAGCCTTAAGTATTGAATTGTGACTCATTTATTATTATTTTTTTCTTATTAACCCTCTGAGGTAGTTACCAAACCAATTTCTTCAGGACCATAGTTATCTTGAGCTAAACCCCACGATCTTTTCAGAAAGTGAAAGTTAACTTTTGAAAGAAAAGAAAAAAAGGCTTCTCAGGCCACGGCACATAAGATACACTTATAATTTTAATGTAATAATTAAAAAATAAAAATGGTTTGGGTTTATATTTTAAAAAACAGCCCAGCTGTATTACTCTGTCACCAAGAATTGTTATTTGAAGATCCCGTCAGTGCTGAGTTTTATAGGTCAGCCTTGATGAAGAGTTAGTTCCCTCATGGTATGCAAATATACTCTCAACTTTCTGCCTTCTCTTAGAAGGCTCCATCTAAGGCTTCCCTTAGAAGTGCCTCTTCTGAGCAGGATGGATATGAAGAATGTGATTCATTCAAATAACTCCTCCCTGTTCTACCCTCTCCTTCAACATTCCCCTCTTCTCAGAAACATCTGAAGTATTAAAGTTGTTTTTAAATAGCAGAAGCACCAAAATCCATTAACACCACATATAGTCTTTAAACTGAAATATTTTAGTGATGTCTTGGACATCAAATTGATTTTTTAAGGTGGATTCCGAGTGTGTGGGTCCAGCCCAGGTCTGCAGTTTGTGCAGACATAGAAACAAAAGAAAGTTAAAACATTCAGAAAAAGTCAACCGCTCGCTTTTAAAATAATGCTGGAAATCAAAATTTTTCAAAGAATTGGCAAGCATGGGCTATTGCTCAGAATATGAATTAGATGGATTTACAAAATCATTAAGAAACAAATCCAAGTTTATGTGCTGTGAAATTTCCATGGTTCTTTTAAAATAGATAGGCTAATCATAATTTTTTTATAATGCTAAATCACTCAATTTTTGATGGAAAAAGAATACAGATGGACTGTGTTTTACCTATATGAAAATCACCAATCCATTGAAAATAAAATCCAAGAGGGTATATACATTCTAATCAAGTCATTGATTATTTTCCTGATTAATAAGAACTACACTTTACACAAAATACTTTGTCAGCAGCTGTTTTCATCAAAAAAACCAATATTCATAGTTTCACAGTTGAAAAAATTACACATTAAAATATTTTACAATTCATTGTATATTCACCAGGTTCCCATTTCCTAATATAAAGCAGATTAGAAGGGAAAACCTCAAAGTTGATTACTTTGACAGTGAGTTTTACAGAGGACACTAAGAACCACAAAAAGCTTAGGTTCTATCATAAAATAGTGACCAAATTCCATTCTTTAAAAAATCCAATTAAAAACATCTTTTTTAAAAACCAAATTCTACAATATGATTAACAGATTTCAAATTAACAGCAGTCTAAAAATCTTCAAAATAAATGATTTTGTATACTGAGAATATGATAAAAAGTTAAAACATGATTTTCAGATTATACCTTACTAGAATATGTTTAAAATTAGGTTTTATTTTCTTTAAATCTGCTCCCCCCCCCCCCAAAAATAGTCATTGAAGGAATTGTTTCTCAAGTGACCAAATGAAACTGTAAAGTCAATAGTTAGATATACCGCATTCAATGACAAGGATGGCTGGCCACAGGAATTGACCAATCCATGGGAAGTGATCGGACACTGAAGTACCTGGAAATGGCTTACCACTGACTTGACAGCCTAGTCACCCCATGTAGCATTCAATTCAATTTTTGGTTTTTTGCCTTCTGAGCTCTACCTGACCCTTTTTTCTTATTTTTAATGTTGTTTGCTTTAACTCTGCTTGGACTCATTAAAAATTTGCTTTGCTTTTAGCTAGATCGCTTAACCTACATTCTTTGTAAAATTTGTCTACACTTCTTGAAACAGAATTAACTTGGTTGCAGTAACTGAAAATAAATGTAAATGATGAAATAAGCTCTGTGGCTGTGTTTTAATGGAGAGGTCCCAGGGGAAGGGGAGTAGCTGGACTGATGTGAGACATGCAAAAATTATGTAAATTTTGTGCAAGGAAGCTCAAAGCTTTTTGGCACTCAGGTAAAACGCTGTTCTGTTAAATCTTCAGTTTCCACCATCAGAGTTTCAGATTTGTACCATTTCATTGAATTTTCCTGTAATTAATCCCTGATACAGAAAAGACGGGGAAGTTAGTATGTATTAACTGAATATATATAAAAGGCACAAAATGTTAAAGAAGTTTTAATAAGTTATGAAATCTACATCTGCAAAAGAATCTATTTGGCTTCCTGCTTAAAATGGGAGTTTAAATTCTTCTTAACTATTCCAAGACAGTTTACAGAAATAAGTTCCCCTAAATCTTCAAATTTATTTTTCTTGTTGGCAATATTATATACATGCTTTAGTGAAGTACCTAAGTCTCCAATAATTAGGCCCTTTAAGGGCTCTAAAATAGCCAAATATTAAGAGTATTTGAATTAGAGTCCCTTGTTTACTATTCAAGACTTCTATTCTAGGTAACTGATTTCATAAATGAGTATCATTTAAGTGATGTTGTTTTAATAGAGTATATAATGCACACTTTTTATAAAGTTGTATTCCAATAATATGCCTAATCTAGAAAACTGTCAGTAAATTATTGCACTTTTTCTGGTGTGGCACCTGGACATTTGCTAAAGCTATTTCCTAGGGCATTAATCATTCATTTCAAATACTGAGTAAAATATCAGATTCTAGAGTGATGACTAGCATTAGCCCCTACACCTTGGGTTAATGTTTCCCCAAGTGTTTAAGAATGTATCCTGCACTCAAATGCAATTTATAAAGTTGGACAGTGAGCCCTAATTGCGTGGAGATGGGACATGATCTTAAAATGGTTTAAGGTCCTACTTTTATTATCCAGATATTGCATAAATAGTCTAAAAAGGTAAAAAGTTCATGGTTTCTATTCCCCCATATTATAAAGTATTATTCATGAGTATACCTCAGTAGAGAGGTTGAAGCAATCAAGAAGATACTGTATATTGTGTTAATTTTGGTAACTAGTTTCATGACTGAGGCATTATCAACTATAAAGGAAGATGGAGAATGGGGGAGTCATATGAAAACAGAAAGAAAACAAAAGAAGATGAACTTTAATCTGTTTTCCTTATGTAGTTATACACTAGTCATTGGTATAAATGGGATAGTGCCTGAGCCTCACCCACAGACCAAGAGGAAAGCTGACCATGTTGCTATGAACAATAAAAAATTTGGGGTGCAAAACAATGCATGAGTATGGGACAGATCATGTAAATAAAGAATATATATTAATGATAGTTTCTATAATATAAATAGCCTTTAATAAAAAAAATAATCTTTTTAATAACATTAATACTCACTTCTATTTTCTGGAAACATGCATGAAAAATGTATTCAATTCAATTGCAAAAGGAAAAAAAAAATCAACCTACGGTGAATACTGTACAATTCTGAAGCAAGAACTAGTCCTGCTCATTCTTTCTCTCTGATGATTATTGTACTTTGTGGGAGCCCAGAATTTCCCTGGGAGATAAGAATCAGATTCTTGTAAATACTGTCCAGAAAAAAACCCAAAAACACCACCTTATAACAGGTCTCACTTGTGACTGCTTCCAAAACTTTGCAGATAAAGACCCCAAATCATCAAAAGGTTTGATTTATTAAAAAGGAAAAGTCTCTGATGAAATCTCAAGAGCCCCTTCCACCCCAAGCATTTTTCTCTTCATTAAACAAGGAGTCAAAAAACCCACCTCAAACTATAAATTGAACAGCAATGGAAAAATAAGAAATCTTCATTATTTTCTAATCTCAATGTAATTTAACACCAAGCTTCAGTTTCCTTGGACCTAATGCAATAATAGACTGTGTTGTGTCCACAATTTCAAAACATAGAACATTTGCAAGACAAAAAAAGAACATCATTCTTTTACCTTCTCCATCATTTCTATATATTTTGGGGTTTTTTTGTTTTGTTTTCTTTTTTAAAAAAAGATACAAACAATCTTCAAAGTTTACCTTTTTGGACTTAAGGCATAACATGAAATTGCGCATTATTCTAAAGCTTAATTTTGAAATGAACTAGTTTAGTGCTCTCAAACCCTGTTTGCGTTTACATTATTTAAATTATATAGTATTTTATTTCTGTTCTTGTGTAAATTCTAATGCTGTTCATGGATTGTGCAATTCCTATGCAATCGGTCTTTGCCTGTTGACAGTTATTAACAGTGCAGGATAGTATCCAGATAATGAGCTTTCGGTTTCTCAGTTATCATTTCAGTTCAAAGCATGCTGCTTAATTGTGTGGAAGATCCAATCCATTTTTGTTGTCCAGCCACCATGATGTGCGTCATTCATTTGTTTCATGAAATATTCCAAAGCCTCTTGTTCGGTTTTATCTAAAGCTAGGGTCTTTCGAATGTATGCAATATCATCAAAAGATTGTAGTTCTGGCATTCCAGAGCCAAGCATCATTGAGAAAAGATTTATGAAGAGATTGGCGTGCTGCCGGATAGCCAGATAAGCCTTGTAGCACATCTCCTGAAACCTACAAGTGATAAGCAGAGTGTAATCAATATGGAGCGAATGGGGTTAATACCTTCAGGTGTCTGCTCAAATGTCACATCATTAGAGAGGCCTTCTTGAGCAAATCTATAAAAAATAGCATTCCTCTCCCCACTCCCCTTACCAACACTTTCTGTTCTCTTCACCCCATGCTAGGATGTAACCTCCGTGAGTCCATGAGGATTCTGTTTACTGCTTATCACCAGCACCTTAGAATAGTACCTGGTACATCAGCAGTTTACTAAGGATTTATTAAATGTAAGAACTGGTCCATACCAAAGCCTTTAGGATTTAGCCTAGGACCAGGACAGAATTGCAGATAAAATGGAATTTTATACAAGGTTTTTGAAAGTACTTTCAGGTTTAAGATAGACTGATGATACACCAGAAGGCGATCAGAAAAATCATAAATAAATGCGGTAATTATAGTTTACTGATTTCATCAAATTGTAAGACTAAAAAATGTCTTAAGCACTAAGCATCATCAGTATAGAGAAGATACAGTCCAATTATTTAAGCAACAGTAAATAAAAACCTTTAATATATTAAAAAGTTTAAGAATCACTTTCTTAGGCCTTAATTAACTAAATAATTAATTTCAGGCCTTCACTAATTAATAAATTGGTTTTTCTTTCCATTTTTCTTCATAGCATTGTACAATAAATAAATACATTAAAATACTCAGGCCAGAATGTTAATAAAACATACTTTAAATTGCTTGAAAAATATCAATTATTTTTGAGAGAGCAGAAAGAATTCTGTACTTTGTATTTTTGATTTCTTGAACTTACCTCTCAAATTCTCTTGTCTTTGTGCATTCTTGGGCTCCTTTACTAATCACTATTAAGAAATCTTGTGTCAAAACAAATGGCACACGTTCCCGTTTATAACCAAATTTTTTCTTCTTGTGATCCAAAAAGTGTCCAAAATCTATATGAAACAGCTTTCAAAAATAAAGAATTATATTATAGCTTGACAAAATCAGAAATGCAATATCCTGAATTAATAAATTTAAGAATGCCAAAACATTTTAAAAAGAGAAAGCTATTACTTGTCCATCATCTTTAACCATGATGTTACTATTGTGACGATCTCCAATGCCCAGAATGAAGGTAGCAACACAATATCCAGCACATGAACGTGTGAACAGGTCAATGGCTGCATCATATCTACAGAGAAAAAATAAACCCCTGATGAGTAGTGTGTTAACAGAGTAATCCGGTCCAAATTGGAAAAAGATGGTCAAAGTCTGTACTGAAGAGTGAAAACAATCCCTGACGTTAAGAGGAGGAAGTAATTATGTCCAAAGATTTGAGGTAGAAAGGACATTTCTTCCTCTGACTAAAGCGTAAGTCTTATGGTGAAAAAAATAGTGAAGGTGTCATGAAAAAAAAAATTCTTCTAATCATTTTAACAATGAACTAAAAGTAAATTTTGAGATGTTCAACGTTGACCTTGAAAAAAAAAGAATAAGCAAGAAAACACATTAGATACCTAAAATTGGATGTATAAAGTTGGGTATATAGGGATTCACCAAAATTGAAGTAATTCTGATCATTCAAAGACAAAATCTCATCAAATATTTCAAAAGGTGAGCATATTTTTTTCCCAAAATAAGTACATGTTTTCTCTGGTCTCAGAGAAATGTACACAACCATTAAAAGACTCGTCTAACAAAACCTTAAATTGACATAGGAAGAAAAGAACAACAGACTCACATTTCTCCTTTGTTCTTGTCTTTGAGCCACTGGTGGAGTGTGTGGCTGTTAAACTGCAGAGCGCCTTTCAGGCCACCTTTGCACTGAATCTGCATAATCGTGTGAGAATTTCGCACCACCTCAATAAGTCCCACACAGTCACCAATTGACAGACAACCATAAGGTAACATTCTGAAAAGGATCAAGACATTTGCAATTAAGTGATGGAATATTAAAACAGCAAATATTTTAATAGGCTAATGCAGGAATATCCTTTGTGCAAATTTGTCATGGTCTCATGACTTTTACTTATAAAGGTCTCATGACCTTTACTCCTTTAACTTTGGTTTTCTTTTAAAATTAGAAAAATCCTCAAAATTATCTGCCATCATTTGTTATAAGCTTCAATTGAGAGAGCACCTAATTGAATACGAAAAAAGCATTAAGATTATTGTGGCAATAAAAATTTTATAAACATTTATGACTTTAAAAATATGGGTGAATTTCAGCTTGTTTAGCTGAAATCTAAATAATACTTTGGGGGCAGTTCTCAAGTTTTTGGTCTCAGGACTCCTCTATACTCTTAAAAATTACTGAAGTCCCAAAGAGCTTTTATTTATGTGGGTCATATCTACTGATGTTAGCAATTAAAATAGAGGAAAAGATTAAAGTATTAATTCATTTAAAAATAACAAAGTACTATGTGGTAACATAAATAACATCTTTTATGAAACAAAGAACCTTATGTTAAAAAAAAAATTCTTGGGGCCCCTGGGTGGCTCAGTTGGTTAAGCATCTGACTCCTGGTTTCAGGTCAGGTCATGATCTCGTGGTCATGGGGTTCCGTGCTCAGCACAGAGTCTGCTTCAGATTCTGTCTCATTCTCCCTCTTCTGCTATTGCACTCTCTCTCACTCTTAAATAAATAAATAAAATCTTTAAAAAATAAATTCTTAGTAAGAAGAATGACACTTTCCCATATTTTCAAATTTCTTTAATGTCTGGCTTCATGGTACTGAGCTGGATTCTCCTATATACTTCTGTATTCAATCTAAAGCAATATTTTAATTGAAGCATATGAAGAAAATCTGGCCTTGTATCATTAAGTAGGTAGAAAAAGGAGTACTGTAATAGCCTTTTCAGATAATTGTAGATATTTTTCTTTGATATTATTCCAAAATTTGACAAAAGGTAGTTTCTCAAGTTGTAATATGGAATGTGAAATCATATCAATAAACTTGTCATACTGTTACATTAAAATCTATTAGTCTACCTTGCCTCTGAATGGAACTTTTACTCATCTATGACTTTATATATCCTGCATTGGTCATTTGGAAGATATTAGTTCACTGAGTTACAAAGATCTTTCAGATGGTGATACTTTTCATTATATCAACTAAAAAAAAAAATCACAATTGTTAATATTACCACTGATATCATCAGAAAAGTCTTTACTTTGAGAGCACTCTTATGGCTTATGGTAGTATATACAAGTTTTTCCAAATTCTCATTTTTGTTTGAAAGCTCAAATTTGATCTTTGACAACAAATCCTGTCAGTTGTTCACCTTGAAGAGATAGGCTCATATCATTCATTTTCAAGAAAATGTCTACCAAATACCCATGTCTCAAAAAACCAAAGCTTATCTATTATTATTATTATTATTATTATTTTTGGCTTCTATTATTTAAAAAAATATTTTATTTATTTATTTGAGAGCGAGAGAGAGAGCAAAGCAGGGGGAGGGGCAGAGACAGAGAGGGAGACGCAGACTCCCTGCTGAGCAGGGACCCCCCCCCCATTCTTTTTTTTTTTTTTTAAGATTTTATTTATTTATCTCTGAGAGAGAGAGAGAGAGAGAGAAAGAGAGAGAGAGAGAGGGAGAGAGAGAGAGATCACGAGCAGGGGGAAAGGGTAGAGGGAGAAGCAAGCTCCCCACTGAGCAGGGAGTCTGATGCAGAACTCGATCCCAGGACCCTGGGATCATGACCTGAGCTGAAGGCAGATGCCTAATTGATTGAGCCATTCAGGTGCCTTATTATTCTTTAAGTAAAAATAGTGTTCCATGAAAAAAGCAGTTAGTATGGCTTGAAACTCTAATAACCCACAAATACCTTTTCTTGATAAACCATATTTGGGTATGCAGCAGAAGTGCTATATGGGTAATTCCCACTCATCACAGTGCAGAAAAAAGGACATGTATTCAAGGGAGGTGTGAGCAGTTAAAGAGACAATGAGAAAAACATTCCAGTTAGCACATAAGTACTAAAGTCTAGTTTTTCTTGCTCTGTTGTTCTCATAAGCTACTGTCCTCGCTTTTCATCTTTCTTTTACTTCTTAAGTTCCTAAAAAAGCAACAGTCTACACTTATTTTCATTTTCTCAATTCCATGTAGCATAACTTCTATGCCTACCACTCTACTGACTTAATTCTTCTTAGAGTTAATCATGAGTCATCAAATCTAAAGGCTTTTTCGTAGTCCTTATGATCTTACATCCCTTGAAGCACCTGATACTGTCAATCTCTCCCCTCTTTTGGGTTCTGTGAATTACTTCCTCTGGCCTACCTATGCCTTTGATGATTTCTTTTATGGAATCTTTCCTTCTATCTGTCCTGGTAAATGTGGGAATTTCTTAAGGTTGTACTCCTGCTTATTCTCTCTTACTTTACCTTTTAATTTTATTCCTGCTGAACATGCTCACAGTTTAAGGAGTCAGACAGAGTCTTATAAGGCTTGTGACATAAAACCCAAAACAACAAGCAGAGAATCCAAGTTTTGGCAAGAATATATAAAAATGCTCTGACTTCTTGAAAATAATTTTATTTAAAATCAATCTTTAAATAAAAATTTTTACTTTAATTACTTAAAAAAATTTAGAAAATATTCTAAGACTTAAAAACTTTTTGAAGATCCAACTTACTTTCCAATGATCTAGCTTAACTCTAAATGGTTTTTAGCACACTCACTCATTTACAGTTAAATACCAGAGTTATATAGTTAAATCCTTGACTGTCTAGTTCTGCATTCTCTTTTGTTTTGTACTTTCCTGGGGCAGTGGTAGTAATGGCATGTGTATCTCTCAGACGCAGAAATTATACCAAAAGAGGAAGCTTGATTCATATAACACTCTTTTTGGAAAGCAGAAGGGATTAAGCACAGCATCAGGAGTTAAAAATTTGAAGTTGATGACCTAATTTTGTGCTTTAGCAAATTACTTGACATGTCCATTTTTCTTCTTTGCAACAAGATGATTCTTTCTACTATGTGTCACTGATGTATTTTTACATACTACGTATCAATCTTTAGGAGGCATACAAATAAACCCTAATCTGCTCTGCTGCTGCAGCTGGAGTTGACTCCTATGCCCACTTATGGACAAAAATTCTTTTGGAGAGAGTGGCCTTTGCTGGAATGACTCTAGATTTGCAAAGAGACGAGAAAGAGAAGGGAACACTGTGAGAAACAGAAACGAATTAGGACAAGATGAAGCACGACAGAAAACTCAGACATAATTGTAGAAGGTTGGGCAGAGACAATAGCAAAAGCTTTAAGACAAGTTCTTTTCATAAATTTTGCTGTCAAACTGATTTAAGATTAGAGGCTATATAAAGTTTTAAAATTAGAAAATTTACATCACAAAAGAAACTTTCTTTTAACCTCTTAACTTCTGACTGAAAACAGGGGGCTTTTGTGTCTCCTATGTTCTGTCTTAAAAAGTTCTAGACACATTCCAGACACAGTTGCAGTCTTTGCCAACTTAGAGATACCTCTTTTTGCCTTGCTGAATCTCTTTGCTATTCTGCGCCAAGGAAGAGGAAGACGAATGAACGTGTAATCAACTAGTATTAATTACTAATCCCTACATTTTTTCATAGATACATGCCCCTTTACGCTTTATAACTGATGTTTACTAATAGTTTACTTTTTCAGGATAACTTTCAACATATATGTTGCCTTTACTGGTTACTTACCGGAGATCAAGACCTTGATTTTGCCAGATATTTTCCATAATGCGAATTATTTGAAGTGTTAGCATATCTTGACGTAAATCTGCAATTCAAATAATATGTATCACTGTTTAATTCCATGAATGCAAACCTGGTGTCATGTCATCATGTTGCTTTCAAACAGAAAATAAATACAGCTATATTTACTTTTCAGATTAATCTATAAGGAAGCAATATTTTGATTCTTAACCCATTTCTAAAGTACCTGCATAAACCCATCTGTATAACAATGTATTTCACAAAAATTTTAAATAAAATATTTAAAGTACTTATTTTTTTGAATCCTTAAATTTGAACCTGTTTATAAATATTGGGGTTAACAGAATTCAGTGCTGAAATGTTGTTTCCCAGGGGAAATTCATCTATGATCCTCCCACTGCTTCCTGCCGCAACCTGTTTTCCAAGTATATTAGGACCTTCTTTTATATGATTTCTTAGCAGACTACACCTTTCTTTTGTACCATATTGTAATTTTATTTTTGTAATTATTTTTTTAAAGTCTCTCTTCTCCCTGCTAGACCATAAACTTTAAGAGGCAGGGACTCTGTTTTGTTTATTCTTACAATTTGACGGCCTAGTACATCAAATACTTACAGAAAGAATGGATACTCACACAGCTAAGTAAATAATAGAAACTTATTTCAGGCCTTTCAATTCTAACTTTAGTAATTCTTTACTTTTAACAATTATAGATACATTTTCTAAAGGTTAAGACATTTGTTTAATATTATATATTTTACCACACACATATTCCTTAAATGGCTTTCAATAGTCTTCATGCTTCATAAATATCCTGTTTATAAAAAGATAGCTAAATTCATGCATCATAAGCTCATTAATACTCTTCCTTACCATCCCCATTTTTAAAGATGATCTCATTGTTCTGAAAGAGTAACTCTGACATGATGTCTGGGTTCTCCCAATTCAACCACAGTGGCCTTTTTGCAGAGGACATAATTCGACACTCTTCAAGCCTTTAAAATAGTTAAAAACGTCACTAGGCACCTTATTTTTAAAATTCTTCTACCCTCAAATTTATTTTAAAATACACAGGCAATATAGTTTTTTGAAGTGTTATAAAAATTTAAAACCTTCTCCATTTAATTTATGAATTCATTTATTCAAGGGAGTATAAAGAAAAAAATTATGCTTAAAACTTTCTTACATAATAGCATATGAATTTTCAACAAATATAGGGATATGCCATTCATTTTACAGATATTACATTTCATTTTTGAAATGAAACCAGAAATTCTGGCCAGAAAAAGTTTTAAACTCTATTATTAAAGTAATAAAAACACATTCTGAATAAATGCAGTTCTGAACTTAAGAAAACTGAACAAACTATTCTACTAGGTAGGATAACGGGAGAGGGAAGCATATGTAACTGAACATTCTAATTATAATTTTTAACTTTTCTTAAGATTTTTTCCAGGAAGGTTACTTGTTTCAATATATCAATAAACCTTCCAATAAGGTACATTACCTGAGATTTCCTAGTTGATGAGCAGGATTAAGAGGAGATAGAAAACCTTGGAGAGCATCCATGAAATCTGGTCGCCGCATCTGCTCAACTAAAAACTTCATCTGTACCTGATAAATGAGCATAATCATGTTTAGAAACTGATTTCATGAAAGGTAAAACTAACCACTAATCTCTTTTATATGTTGTAACCACAGTATTGTATAGTCTATGAATCCATATCATGTTTCTGATTAGAAAGGTTTCTATCACACAGAGCAACACACTTCAGGCAGAGGCAGGAGGGGCAGCACTGTGTACTCTCCTGTAAGAACACTGCATGCTGACACAGGCAATGTTTTGGCTCTAGAGCAGGGCTTGGTCAACTATGGCAGTTTTTGTAAATCAAACTGCACTGGATATAGCCATGCCCTTTCCTTTAGATACTGGCTGCTTTCACAGCAGAGGAGCAGAGTTGAATAGTTACAACAGAGACTGCATGGTCTGTGAAGTCTAAAATATTTACTATTTGGCCTTTCACAAAAGTTTGTTGACCTATGGAGGAAAAACTATGAAGATATCAGGTTAGTTTAGTAACTTTACTTTTAAGCTTTGCAGAAAAAAAACCGTATTCATTTTCTCTCTGTTTAGTAAAAAGAGTCTAGTGAGGTTAAAGGAAATTGTTTGGAAAAGGGCTTATAAAAACATTTGTTAGGCTGAGTCGCACACTGTACTCAGGTTCCAGTATGTATGCAGAAACTATCTTTTAAATCACCTGAAACCAGAGCCCAGACTGCTGAGCTATATCATGCAATGACTGCCATTTTATTTTAGGAAATCGTTACTTATCAAAAATATAAAAGGTAAGTAGGGGACAAAAAGAGGTTAGAAGCTAGGAATTCATAATAAATTAATTTTCATAATGTAACTTTAGTAATAAAGTTTTGTTTGTTTTTGTTTTTTTTTTGTTTTCACTATGGAGAAGGAAGTAGCTGGAAAATACAGTCATCACTGACTACGGCAGCTCTGGCACATGTAAAGGCATTTCTTTTTCTAGCACTATCAACCCTAATGTTAGCACACTGCTTCCAATGCTTTATCATTGTACTAAAGCAGGAAACCACTCAAAGAAACTGCTTTTGTTCCTATGGCATTTTCACTCCCCTATCACAATCCCATTTAAGCCAATAGTAAAGTGAGTAATGACTTTCACCTTCCTATTTAACTCACTGTATCAAGGCCAACCCGTGATATGAAAATTCCAGCTAAAAGAAATGACTATATTTGCAAATTTAACTAATATCTAGTTTCTTTTTTCTTACCTGTTACAATATAAATATTATAACTTTTATTCTTTCAAAGCAGGCTAGTCCCCTCTAGCTCATGATTCCAGCATCAGAAACAGTACAATTATTTAAAAAAAAAATCTTTTTTTTTTTTTAGAGAGCAAGTGCGACAAGGAGTGGGGGCAGAGAGAGAGTCTTTTTTTTTTTTTTTTTTTTTAAAGATTTTATAATCACAAGTAGGCAGAAAGGCAGGCAGAGAAAGTGAGGGGGGAAGCAGGATCCCTGCTGAGCAGAGAGCCTGATGTGGGGCTTGATCCCAGAACCCTGGAATCATGACCTTAGCCGAAGGCAGAGGCTTAACCCACTGAGCCACCCAGGCGCCCCCAGAAAGAGAATCTTAAGCAGGCTCCATGCCCAGAATGAAGCCGGATGCTGGGCTTGATCTCATGACCCTGAGGTCGTGACCTGAGCCCAAATCAAGAGTTAGATGCTTAACTAAGCCACGCAGGTGCCTCCCACCATTATTTTCTAATATCATTTATTTCACCTTCAATAAAATCGGCTTAGTCACTCACTCAACGACATTTAGATTAATACAGTAACTTTCTTAAAAATTTTTTTTTCATGCAGTATCAATGAAGAACTTGGAAAAATTCATTTGGTATTGCTAATTTACATTCTTTGTGCTTGGGGACTAATATACTGGGATTTTTTTTTTTCCCCCATTTCATTAGAGGTGAGGAATGATCTTACTTTTTACTACAGGATGTGGGTAGACTGAAAAAATGATAGGAGGAAAAGGTCATGAAAAATCCTTACATTTCATATTCTTCAGTTACACTAGGCTAGATTACAGATCACCAGCGTGTGTGATAATGTTCAAAAAATGACTAAGAGTCCACCTTAAACTTAACAATGTACAAATTAATTTCTTTACACTTATTTTCAGGGTCATTACTAAAAGATAAAAATGACACAAAATAAGGAATAATAATTTTAAAAGTTAGGGCTGTGTGAAAGAGAAGGAAGAAGGGGAAGAAGAAAGGACTAACATTTACTGGGCACCGCCTGCTTTCTGGGCACTGTGATATGTGCTTCAGTGCATCTCATGTAATTTAATTCTCACTACACTATGCAGAAAGTATCATTGCCATTTATAAATGAGAAAAGATCTCAAAGTCTAAATAATGTGTCTAACATTACATAGCTGAGAGGCAATGAAACTTGGATCCAAATCTTGATATGCTTGATTCTAACACCTACAATCTGCCTCTACACCGGGCTCTCAAATTACCCTGCCCCACTGCAATGCAGAGTCTCAAAAACAGACTAAAGATTCACGTACCTTTTGTGTTTCATCCTTCTTCTCTTGTTTGAGGATATCAGTTAAGTTAATGAGCTTTTCCATAGCCTCAACTTGCCTATTTAGGTGCTTCAAATACATCCCACATGCACGACAATAGGACTCCAAAAGAAGACCAAACCTCTGACTAACCGTTTTATTGTGCATCTCAGATCTAAAAGAGCACAGAATTAAAACAAAACAAAAGAAAAAAAAGACTGAAATACACACATGTATGCACACACACACTGCGTTATATATATGGTCCTAAATAAGTACATATGTATATAGTTTTTTTAAAGAAAATATGAAAACCATTTTTGAAATCCAACAAATGTTATCATCATACTAACAATAAACTTATGTAAAATCTATCATTTGGAAGCAAAATAATCAAGAATTTAAGATAGTTCCTGGCAATATAAATTTAATAAACTAGACTTTAGGCCTACTTCAACTACTTTTCATTTACTAATCTTAGCATGAGATGTATTAACCATAGAGAACGAACTGATGGTTACTGAAGGGGAGGTGGCTGGGGGCTGGGTGAAATAGGTGGCAGGGATTAAGGCATGCACTTGCTTTAATGATGAGAACCAGGTGTTGTATGGGAAGCGTTTAATCATTATACTGTATATATTATAATACTAATATGTAATACTAATATTATATTGCATGTTAACTAACTGGAATTTAAAAACAACTCGAAAGATATACAAACATGAAACAAGTAAATTCAGGAAAAAAGTAATAAAATGAATAGGGAGGGAGTGAAGAGCAAGTGAATACTATTTGACTCTTGTGGCATACATATCCTCTTTCTACACAGTCTTTGAACTTAATTATTTTAAACTTAGCTTCAGGATTCCATTTTGATTTATTTTAACATTTAAAAAAATCAAGTTAATTGTTAAAAAAATCAAGTTAATTATAAATCTAAATTTAGGAGAAGTGTATGGCTTATGATCTTACTTGGGAGTATTAGATCATATTCTACAAAATGCTTTTAATTCTTTTATTTATTTATTTATTTGAGAGAGAGAGAGAGAGAGACTGAAAGAGAAAGCATGATAGGGGAGAAGGTCAGAGGGAGAAGCAGACTCCCTGCTGAGCTGGGAGCCCACTGTGGGACCTGGAGATCATGACCTGAGCCAAAGACAGTCGCTTAACCAACTGAGCCACCCAGGCACCCAAATACTTTTAATTCTTAATTAGCTTTTTTTCTGGTAAGAAACTTGGGATTTCTGTCATTATTGTTCTGAATTCCAAGGCAGGATTTCTTTTTCTTTTATTTTGGATATTTTAATCCACACATACAGTGAAAATCAACTGCAATATTAACCAATATTAACCTAGCAAATTTTACTTCGGTTAAAGTAAAATCAAAGCCTTTAAAAATATTTCAGGTCTCATTTCTATATAAAATTCAGTTTTGAATTTTCCTGCTTATTTAATACTAAAGAGAAAAACTTGAAGGGAAGCTTACGACTGGTACAATATACTTTCATTATGGAAAACTCTTTCAGACAAAAACAACAGTATCTAAGTAATATTTATAGATCTATTAAGAAAGCAAGTAACATATATCTAAAGAATTTAATGGGAAAATAATGTGACTTACTTTAAATGCCAAAAGAAAAAGTGCCCAATCCTTTGATTAGTCAATGCTTTCTTGAGTAAAAATCTCACAAGCAGGTTATCCAAATACTGTTCATATTTTAGGACCTATGTAATTAAACACAAGCATAAAAACAACATTGCATCAATCAGGGTCAGTTTCTGCATGGCTGGATTTAAAGAAAATTTTTTAGAAATTAAGTAGGTACTATTGGTAATAAAACCTATTTTTAAAAAAAGCATAAAACTAGTATAGATAAAGATCCATAGTCTGGATAAAGGTGCATGGATTTAGAATAAAACATTATTTTTCTATTTTACATTATTTTACCTGTACTAGCTGAATTAGGTACTGAGAAAGCTTGTCATCTGTTAAGTATTTTTCTAAGCACCGAACAGCAAAACCTCGAACCATAGGATCTGGGTAATTACAGTCCAGAAGCTCCATAGCCTGTTCAGGTTTGATTGGAGGCCAATCTTTTACTAAGCAGTACATCTGTTATGGCAAAAACAATAAATCACATTTAAAAAGGAAAGACAATTGTGAGTGAACCCTCTAAGACAATGTCTTAATTTCTTCTCTTAAAATTAGTCAAGAACTCTCCTTATGAATTTGGTGTTTAAAATGTAAAATTCTAACTAATTTTATTAGTGGTGTGAATGGTATTTTTTCCCACTATATTATTATATTAATATAAAACAGTCTATTTCACCTCTTATGCAGACTTTCTGAGAGAAAACAATTTGAGTGACACATGAATTTTATACAATAGTTATTCTGTAATCTCAAACATGCATTTACCTGAGCTACTTCATCTCTAGAATTCCATTTAACAGACAGAAGCAGTTTGGGTAGAATTTCAGGGATAGTTACACAATAGTGTCTGTGTGGAAAAGACAAAACAAAACAAAAAACATTCTTGCATGTTAATCAAAAGGCCTAGATATCTAAATTTTAAACTATGTAATCTTTCCAAACACACTGAAAACTTACCATTACTAGCCTACTTTAAAATCAAAAGAAATCAGCATTTAACACTATAATTGCATATTTATGCACACATAATACTTAAGACAGTTACAATGTCATGAAAGACAAAAGAATAATCCAAATGGAAGACAGATGCTTTGGAAAAAAGTATGAATTTATTTCACAACACTACATAGCTCCTTTTTTACCCACTCACCCAACAGAAACCATGAGGAGAGTTGCCACTTCTACTGTAGTCACTGGACAAAACTTATGTTTCAATGGACTTTCTGCAGAAAGGCACTGCAACTGCTTTATTTAAATAAACCAGTGTATAACTCCTAAGTAGTGGGGTAATTTCTTCATAAGTAAAAATAAAGCACTGCACTATTACTTTGAGGAAGTATAAGGAAAAAAATGGAAAAAATGCCTAAAAATTGAAATATCTAGACCAACTACATCCCAACTAAATTGATCTAAAGCTATGGGTATTTTTTTTTTTATCTTGAATTTCATTTAAAAAAGCTCCCAAAACAAACCCTAAAAAAAGTCATACCAGGGATTTAGAATTTTAAAAAAGCCTTCAAGGCTTGAAGGTGGAAGGTTAGTACCAATGCAGCATGATTTTCTAGAAATACTGATCTTTATCCACAGTTTAAAAAAGAATATTATGACAAAAAAGTCATGTAAATTATGCTTTATATACTTTAACAGGTATTGAAGAACCCGCAAGATAAGCCAAAATCAGTTGTTTCAGGGAATATTCATCTTAACATTTACCTGTGGCTCCACAGAAAATCTTTCTCTTGCTCAGTGATTTCAGATAGAGGATCTCGGGTACAAATTGCTCGGAGCTGTTCTTTATCGTTTTCTCTTAATTCGTTGTCTCTAGCTAGTCTGTTACTCTGCAAAATAAAGTAATATCTTATATGATTTCCTTTGCTATATTTTCCCCTGGATTCATGAGTGATCTACAAAAACAGACAATGGCCAACAACTTTACACTGCTTATTAATCATTGTGATACAGTTTATTCTCATCACAAGCCTTTATTTTCAGGGATGGGGAGAATCAGCTTAAGGCAGTATTTGTGGAACAAATCCAGTATCTTAGTTAACATTACCATCAGTCACAGAACAGTCACTGCCAAAGTGAGTCAGGGATAAGACCAGACTGGGGTACTTGGGGTAGAAGTAAGTAACTGACTTCTCTTCCTGATAAGGCCCCTTCCTAGTATTCTATTAACTATTCTGCTCATGTTTCTGGAATAAGAAATAGTAAAATAATAAAATACAAATGTAAATTCTTTCATAATCTTTGCTCAAATTCATCCTTATAATCACTGTAAGACTCTCAAATTTAAAAAGTAAAAATAAGGGCACCTGGGTGGCTCAGTAGGCTAAGCAACTGCCTTCGGCTCAGGTCATGATCCTGGAGTCCCAGGATCAAGTCCCACATCAGGCCCTCTGCTCATCAGGGAGCTGGCTTCTCCCTCTGCCCCTCACCCCTTTCATGCTCTCTCTCTCTCTCAAATAAATAAAATCTTAAAAAAAAAAAAAAGTAAAAATAAGAGAAAAAAGGAAAAGAAATACCCTTGTTAAAACACTGGATGTTAAAGTTTGGAAAATAAATTAAAAACACCATAACCTTTGGTATAATGCCAAGAGTCCAAGTAACATATTTATTCCCTTTAAATACAGATATATTAACTGCATAATGAATAATTATGAATGTATATAATATATTATGAAAACAAGTACACATCCCCTTGGAATGGATTACACATATTCCCAATGGCTAAAAATGAAAGCAGGTATTCATGCCACTTGGTTTTTATTAACATTTGTTAACATTTTATTAACAACACTTAAATATTAATTTATCCAATAGTATAAAGAAATATTATTGGCACATGTCCATCAACAAATATTTATTAAAACATGTACCGTGTGCCTTGTTTTGTTCTTACTGCTGAGGGTCTTAAATAGTAAAAGAACCTGCACTAATAAGATCCCCATTATAGTGAAAAATTAAATGAACAAATTAAAAAAAATTGGCAAGCTGATATAAACACTTTGGGTGATATAATGAAGATGACTGAGTGGCTACTTTACACTGGGTATCTGGAAGTAACCTCTGAGAAGGGAATATTTAATTTGTGGTCCAAATGATAAGAAAGAAGCACCCACACTAAGATCAGGGAAAATACTGCAGGTGGAGGAAACAGTGAAGGTGACCCAAGAAGAGAATGAGTTTGGTATTAGGGAGGAAAAGGAACAACACCTGTGAGCCTGAAGCCCAGGAGACAAGGGGAGAGTGATGGGAGGATATGTTCAGACCACATAAAATTTGCAAGTCAGGGTAAAAGGTTTGGATTTTATTTTTAGTGAAAGCTATTTAAAGGATGAATATCATGATTTATGTTTCTTTTCTTAAAAGATTTTATTTATTTATTTGACAGACAGAGATCACAAGTAGGCAGAGAAGCAGGCAGAGAAAGAGAGAGAGAGAGGGAAGCAGGCTCCCTGCTGAACAGAGAGCGCGATGCCAGGGCTCAATCCCAGGACCCTTTAACCCACTGAGCCACCCAGGCACCCCTGATTCATGTTTTACAGATATTATTTTAGCTGTTTTGTAGACTGAGGAAGACCATTTAGGAGGCTATTGTAATACTCAAGGTAAGAGATAACAAATACTTAACCCTTGATTCACAGGAAAAGTAGTCATTATCATTTATCATCTTGGTCTAAGCGACTCTTAATATTATTGGCTTATTTTTTAGTTGTTTTCATTTTTAATATAAAATAACTTAACTAGGAAAAAATTTTGTGAAAAGCAATTGTGAAAAACTTTATTTGACATCTTACTAAGAATTTAAACACAGGTGTGATACGGTGTGCTATGAAGTGTGAAGACCTGTATCCTTGGGGCAAATAATACATTATATGTTAATAAAAATAATTAATTAAAAAAAATTTAAACACAGCAGAACCAAATTCATAATCAAAATGGGCAACCTCCTTTGAATGCCATTAACTGCTTGCTCATCAACTGTCCTGCATGAGCCTGGAACATACACATCTTACAGATTGTGACTCCACACTTCAAATGCATATCTAATAAGTCCTAGCTTATCATCACTCCTGATTTTTCTTCTTATACTTCAATTGTCAAAATATAATACTTTTGAGAATTTTTATAGTAATCCAAGCAATTTTATATTTCTACATCACTTTTTTCCTTCCACTCATCTTTGCATACACACCTGCCTATGATGTTTATTCACTTAAAAAGTGTATCAAATAAATTCTGGTGTATAGCAGCATTAAAACTGGAAAGAAAGATGAGGTGTGGTCCAGGTTCTCATAAAAAATAGTGTGTGATGAAGTTATTCCTGTTGAATGACTAACTGAATACAATATTTCCTTTTTGTTCTTGGAAATATATTGTTCACTCATCATATCTTGAGTTCGAGAAAATTCATCTAGGATATTATTTAATGTTTTACCTATATGATCAATTTTACCATCATCATTAGAATCTGAAGTAATGACTCTCAAGTGGTGTAATTTTGTTCCCTCTACCTCCAGGACCTTTGATATAGTTTCTATCTTAGGTTTATAGAAGTTTTCAATAGACCCGATCATAACTGAAAAACTGACCCAGTTTTATTCTACTAAAAACAACTTTTTTCTGTAAAGAAAAAATTCTTCTCAGAAAGAAAAAAAGTCATAAAATATCAATCCTTTTTTTAAAATTTGTTTTTTTTTCCAGTATTCTAAAATTCATTGTTTATGCACCACACCCAGTGCTCCATGCAATACATGCCCTCCATAATACCCACTACCAGGCTCACCCAACCCCCCACCCCTCTCCCCTCCAAAACCCTCAGTTTGTTTCTCAGAATCCACAGTCTCTCATGGTTTGTCTCCCCCTCTGATTTCCCCCAACTCGCTTCTCCTCTCCATCTCTCAATGTCTTCTGTGTTATTCCTTACACAAGTAAGCTACACAAGTAAGTGAAACCATATACTTGACTCTCTCTGCTTGACTTATTTCACTCAGTGTAATCTCTAAGAGTTAGGACTGCTCAAAAAGAAACTCAAAAGCTAATTGAGACAGACTCTGATGATAAAGTGAATGTATGAATAAAAATAGAGATAAATGAGTCTTAAAGTGACTTGACTCTCACAATTCCTTTGGTTTACAGGTATAACTAATGGTATAGCACTATGGACAATTCATGGGAATGCTCATCAATATTTCTTTTTTAAAATTTTTAAAATTTTATTATTTCTACTTATCTATTTATTTATTTTTAGCTCATCAATATTTCAATCCCAATTTCAAAATTAAGGAGTTTCTGTTCAGTTACAGCAAAATAGTTGTCAGTAGCTTAATACTTATTTTTTAGATTTTATTTATTTATTTATTTGACGGACAGAGATCACAAGTAGGTAGAGTGGCAGGCAGAAAGAGAGAGATAAGCGGAAGCAGGCTTCCTGCTGAGCAGAGAGCTGGATGCCGGCTGGATCCCAGCACCCTGGGATCATGACCTGAGCCGAAGGCAGAGGCTTTAACCCACTGACCCACCCTGGTATCCCAGAAGCTCAATACTTATTAAACAGTGATACTGGATAAGTTATTTAAACTCCTTAAGCCTATTTCCTTACTGGCAATATAGGGATTATACACATACTACCCTCATAGAAATTGCTTTTAAGATTAAATGAGATAAACCGTGAAAAGTGACTGGCATTGCGTTTGGTACACAGTAAGCACTTGATAAATGTTAGAATTATCAACAAGAAATCAAAGTTACAAAATAGAGGCTACATTTTTCAAGAAAAAGAATTCCTTTGTACTTTTAGTATCTGAAAGAATTCAGTAATAATTTAAAATTAATTTGTACCTCTCTAAATACCTGCTACATATCTCTGAAAGTATATTGGCAGGAAGGTTATGATTATTACTAATCAGTTTACAAAAGGGTTTGTAAACTCCTTACTGAGAACACAACTGTGAACTAATAAAGTTCCTCAATGCAGGATTCCAACTGCCCCTGGGCATTGCTATTACTCAGGTAGGCCTATTTCAGGACCTCTTGGCCCCATACTCATTGGTTGGTCTAGTGATAATGTATCACCAGGCCAAAGAAAAAGTGATAAATTTGAAAACCAGGGAAAGAGACAACAAAGAACAAAAGTATCTTCTCTTAGCACTGACACCTTTGCCCTTCAGAAATAAGAGTTAATGGTCTTTGAACCCAGTTATACTGTGGTTCCAAATTAATGGCCAAGATCAGACAACTTGATTCATACTTAAACTTCCTTTTATATGTAATCTTTTCTAGGGGATCCTGGAGTATGGTGGTAACAAAGCTCTCCTCTGCTTCCAAGCTTAACTAACAATATACTCATACTTTTGTTTCAACTTTCAGGTTATTATATCAGAGAAGTAAAAAGTTCTTTCTTGAACCCAATACATATTGGCTTTTCCTCCCAACCCTCTGTAGTCATTCTTGGGATACTATTGGTTTTTCTATCATATCACCTACCATGATTTATAATCTTACACATTTCTTTTACCACTTCAACGTCTATTTTCACCATTAGACTGTATATGCAATGGAGGTCTCTTTAGGTCAAAACTTTATTACCTCTCACACAATGAATGTAAACATATAGTTGGCATTCAATAACTATTTGTTAAATGAAGGTAGGCTAGGGCTCTGACTAAACTAAGAAGAGACAGAACTTCAGTAACAGTATTAGCATATAGAGAATGTGATTATACTAATTACTGCAACTCTGTCCAGAGCCTATAGGAGCTATGCCAGTGTAACTAAACCCCACGAACCCTGCTCCAAACAAAGAGGATAAACCCAAATCCACTGATTATGACTGATACTTAAGAAAACTCAGTGATCTGCCTTACCAGTCCTGCATGGGAATAACTAAATCCTGCTTCTCGAGACACCGACCAGTTGGCATGCTCTTCAATCACTGACATATCTGGGAACTTTACCACACTGCTGAACCAGTCAAACTCCAACTCTAAGCATGGTGTTTCCTAAGAGATGGAATAAAAGTTATCATAAATATTGTGCTTAACCGTCATAAGAAAGGAAAAAATTCTAATTTATGATAATAAAAAGCTTACTTTATTTGGATTTGACCCAGTAACACCAATAGGGTTCAGCAAATCTTCTAATCCATGAGGTACTGGCCACAGATTCAGAGCCATTTTTCCAGATACTAGAGTATCTGTATAATCAAACAAGTTTATATTTCCCCAGGCCAATGGACAGTGCTCCTTCAAAAACAAACAGAAAGATATTTACTACTCTGTGGATTAAATTATAAAATGCATTTTTAAAAAGATTATTTATTTATTTGACAGAGAGAGAGACAGAGAGAGAGAGAGGGAACATAAGCAGGAGGAGTGGGAGAGGTAGAAGCAGGCTTCCTGCTGAGCAGGGAGCCTGATGTGGGGCTCAATGTGGGGCTCTATCCCAGGACCCTGGGATCATGATGTGAGCCGAATGCAAATGCTTAACGACTGAGCCACCGAGGTGCCCCTACAAAATGCATTTCAAAACACTTTTCTTCCACAGAAAGAATTCAATAGCTATCGCTACAATGATAGCTTTAATAAGTCACATCAATTTTTTTTGAAAGTACAAGCACTTTCTGTTTTCCTATTTGAAATAACAGAAATTTTTCTTTAATTATAAATAGGAAATATGAACCAAAGCAAGCCAGGCAGATAGTGGCATGTAGTCACCTAACAGATATTTGTGGGTAGTCACTGCATGTATAAAAAATTTTGTACATGTGAACTCAGGACATACTTGTAAATAAACTCAGGAAGGTCTCCTGAGGTATTCTTCTATGACACATTTATTTATTAAAAATTTAAAAATATTTGACTAATTTTTTTAGATAAAGAAAAAAATTCACTTCTTGATAAAAATTCAAAGCAGTATAATTGGAGGAGTTTTTTAGAGGTAAAAATAATTATTCCTTCTGAAATACTTTACCTCTTTAGCACCCTTTCGGCCTTTAACAGAACAAATGGAAAGGCAAAGTCGAGCAGCACGAGGAAGATCAGGAATGTATATATCATAATTTAGCCATTCATTCCACCTATGTAAAATTTTAAAGAAAAAAAGAATTTACCAAAAAAAAAAAAAAAAGCTTTATCCAGAGTATATAAACAACTCCTACAAATCATCAAGAAAACAAAAAATCAAATAAAAACAGGTCAGAAATCAACTGGTATAGACATACTTCACAAGATCATATCCAAATGGCCAATAAATATAAAAAAGTAGTCAATATTATTTGTCAACCAGAAAATGCAAAATAAAATCTCATAGAGATATCACTATATAAGAGATTGGCTAAAACTATAAAGGCTGATGATACCAATGATGTTACCAAGGGAGGGTAAGGAGGTGTAGTAACAGGAAATCTCACACATTGCTAGTAACCGGTATTTGCAAATATCCCCCAAGTGTTAACAATCCAAATGTCCAAAAGTAGAACAAACTGCAGTATATTCATATAATGGAATACCATACAGCAATGGAAATAAACACGTTACTTGCAATACGGATGAAATCTTACAAACATGAGTGAAAGAAGCTACATGTAAGAGAGTATCTATTTCTTGAGTATATTTATATAAAATTCAAAAACAGTTCAAACTGAAAAATAATGTTAGATGTCAGGATAGCTGTTGCCTTTGGAGAGGTGAGAAGGTTAATGGAAGGGGCAATGTCATATTCCTGGTAAATGTTCTATTTCTTAACCAGCATAGTAGTTATATAGGTACTAACTCTGATAATTCACTTAACTTTATGATTATCATTTATATACTTTTATACATTTGTGCTATACTGCAGTAAAAAAAAAAACTAGCTTATAGAAAAGGCATTTGAAAGAGGGAAACTAAACAAGAAGAGTGAGATTTTCTATTATGATTACAATTATATTTACTTTTACACATGATGTAATTTTATTCAGAAGAACCCGTTAAGTCAGTCACTATGCAAATAAAATGAAGGATATGTAAAGCAGAAAGTATCTGAAGTTGAGAATAATTACTTGACAAGAGGTAACAGTTAACATTCATAATAAAGAATAAAAAGTTGCTATACAAAGTGATGACAAAAATTATTCAAATATTTATGATAAATTCTTTTTAATTTACTGGATATTATATGTGAAATTACGTCTATATTTGGTGGACAGATCTGTAAAGAGCCAAGTAACAACACTTTAAAAAACAAAACAAAACATTTTATTTATTTATTTGACAGAGAGAGAGAGAGAGAGAGAGAGAACACAAGCAGGGGCAGGGGTAGACGTGGAGAGAGAGAAGCAGGCTTCCTAATGAGCAGGGAGCCCAATGTGGGGCTCCATCCCAGGACCTGAGATCATGACCTGAGCTGAAGGCAGTTGCTTAACTGACTGAGCCACCCAGATGCCCCAAAACACTTTGTTTTGTCTTGTTTTGAAACAACAGTTACCAGTATAAACTCAGGTCAGACTACCTTGAGTAGACTCCTGTTCACTATTTTATTAAATGTGTGACCCTCTGTGATGTGATGAGCACTGGGTGTTATACACAACTAATGAATCACTGAACATTACATCAAAAACTAGTAACATACTACATGTTGAATTTAAATAAAAAAAAGTGTGACCCTTGTTTTTGTCTGTTTTCTCATCTGTGAAATGAGACTAATAATAGTACTTACTCCCTAAGATTGTTGTGAAGATTAAATGAGATAACACAAGTAAAAGGGTGCGTGGCTGGCTTGGTCAGGTAACACAAGTAAAGTGAAAAGAATAGTAACTGGTCCACAGTAAAAGTTCAAGTGCTAGATATTAATCTAGAACATTTCTTCAAAGGACTTCTTCATAATTCTGTTTTTTTATTATAAATAAAATAAAACTTAACAATTTAATGGTAAAAATTCTATTTTTAATTAGGCAAACTAGGTTATAAGCTTTATCAGTAAAATAAGTTCTACTTATGGACAAAGATAAAAAAAAATATGGTCCTTTGATGCAGAGAAGACTTATGTTTAAATGGGTGAAGTTAGTAATAAGAAATTCTAAAGGGAAAAGAAATAAATGCAAGTAGAAGAAATACTGTTGGATCTGATAAGTCCACAATAATTTAAGAAAAATTAAAGATACATGTACTTCAATGTTCCTAGGAGTTTTTATTACTTATGAATCTTTCGAATTGCTCATAATTAATGAAAAATATCCTACACACTTTCTAAAAGAGCTATGTCCCATAAATGTAGCTGTTCAATACTATGCTAATTGACAAAAACATGTTTCTCTCTTCCTCTAAAGTCCATACAGACACGTGCATACACACATATCAATTAAATTCTTTATTTTTAGGCAATGGTTTGATTTATAGTCCAAATTTATTTTGATTTTGGGAGAGGACTGGTAACATCTATGAAGAAATCATTAAGTTTCTACTTTATTTAGCATATGGAAGTATGGATTTAGAATAATCAATCTCAGTAAGAATTTTTTAAAAATCAACTTTTCTACCCTTCTAATAACTTCATATTCTTTATCCTTGATTTTAATTTTGTGAATACAGAAAAGTTAGAAATCTACTTAAATCCTAATACTATTACCATAGGGATTTTACCCTTTAACTAGAGAATTCTTTTTTTTTTAAATTAATTTAAAAATTTTTTATAAACATGTAATGTATTTTTATCCCCAGGGGTACAGGTCTGTGAATTGCCGGGTTTACACATTTCACAGCACTCACCATAGCACATACCCTCCCCAATGTCCATATCCCCACCACCCTCCCCCAACTCCCTGACCCCCAGCAACCCTCAGCCTGTTTTGTGAGATTGAGTCTTTTATGGTTTGTCTCCCTCCCAATCCCATCTTCTTTCATTTTTTTCTTTTCCTACCCCCAAACCCCCACACTGCATCTCCACTTCCTCATATTAGGGAGATCATATGATAGTTGTCTTACTCCGATTGACTTATTTCGCTAAGCATAATACACTTTGGTTCCATCCATGTCGTTGCAAATGGCAAGATTTCATTTCTTTTGATGGCTGCATAGTATTCCATTGTATATATATACACCATACCTTCTTTATCCATTCATCTATTGATGGGCATCTAGGTTCTTTCCACAGTTTGGCTATTGTGGACATTGCTGCTATAAACATTCGGGTGCATGTGCCCCTTCGGAGCACCACGTTTGTATCTTTAGGGTATATACCCAGCAGTGCACTCGTTTGGTCATAAGGTAGCTCTATTTTCAGCTCTTTGAGGAACCTCCATGCTGTATTCCAGAGTGGCTGCACCAGCTTGCATTCCCACCAACAGTGTAGGAGGGTTCCCCTTTCTCCACATCCTCGCCAGCATCTGTCATTTCCTGACTTGTTAATTTTAGCCATTCTGACTGGTGTGAGGTGGTATTAACTAAAGAATTCTTTTTTATTAAATGTTTTAATTTTAATTCCAATATAGCTAAGTATACACTGTTATATTAGTTTCAGGTGTACAATGCAGTGATTCAATACTTCTATACAGTACTCATCATAAGTGTACTCCTAATCCCCATCACCTGTTTTCCCCATCCCCCCATAACCTCCCCTCTGGTAACCCTCTGTTTGTTCTCTATAGTTAAAAGTCTGTTTCTTGGTTTGTCTCCTTCTTCCCACTTTGCTCATTTGTTTTGTTTCTTAAATTCCACATGACTGAAATCATATGGTATGGTATTTTGTCTTTCTCTGACTCATTTTGCTTAGCATTATACTCTTTAGCTTCATTCATGTTGCTGCAAATGGCAACATTTTTTTAAATGGCTGAATAATATTCCTGTGTGTTTGTGTGTATGTACAGCTCTTTAGCCATCCATCCATCAATGAACACTTGGGCTGCTTCCATAATTTGGCTATTGTTAAATAACAGTGCTATAAATATAGGAGGGCACACAGCTTTTCAAATTAGTGTTTCCATATTCTTCCGGTACATCTAGTAGTGAGATTACTGGTTCATAGGGTGGTCCTTTTTTATTTTTTGGAGGAACCTCCTTACTGTTTTCCACAGTGACTGCACCAGTTTACATTCCCAGCAATAGGGCACAAGTGTTCCTTTTTCTCCACAAACTCTCCAACACTGTTGTTTCTTGTGTTTTTTATTTTAGTCACCCTGACAGGAATGAGGTAGTATCTCTTTGTACTTTTGATTTGCATTTCCCTGATGATGAGTAATACTGACCATCTTTTCATGTGTCTATTGGCCACCCGGATGTCTGACTTCTTTGGAGATGTCTGTTCATTCTTCTGCCCATGTTTTAATTGGGTTATTTGGTGTTTGGGTGTTGAGTTTTATAAGTCCTTTATATATTTTGGATACTAACCCTTTATTGTCATTTGTTGACCTTCAGAGGCTGTCTTTTAGTTTTGTTGATTGTTTTCTTTTCTTTTTTTTTTTTTTTAAAGATTTTTATTTATTTGATAGAGATCACAAGTAGGTGGAGAGGCAGGCGGAGAGAGAGGAGGATGCAGGCTCCCTGCTGAGCAGAAAGCCTGACACTCGATCCCAGGACCCTGAGACCATGACCTGAGCTGAAGGCAGAGGCTTTAACCCACTGAGCCACCCAGGCGCCCCTTGTTGATTGTTTCCTTTTTCATGCAGAAGTTTTTTATTTTAATATAGTCCCAATAGTTCGTTTTTGCTTCTGTTTCCCTTACCTTTAAAGATGCGTCTAGCAAGAAGTTGCTGTCTGTATTCTCTTCAAGGATTTTGATGGATTCCTGTCTCACATTAGGTCTTTCATCCACTTTGAGTTTATTTTTGTGTATAGTGTAAAAAATGATCCAGTTTCATTTTTCTGCATGTGGCTGTCCAATTTTCCCAAAACCATCTGTTGAAGAGACTGTCTTTTTCCACTGGATAGTCTTTCCTGCTTGGTTGAAGATTAGCTGACCAAAGAGTTGAGCGTCCATTTCTGGGTTCTCTATTCTGTCCCATTTATCGATGTGTCTGTTTTTGTGCCATTACCATAGTGTTTTGATGATTACAGCTTAAGGTCTGGAATTGTGATGCCTCCAGCTTTGGTTTTCTTTTTCAACATTGAGTCTTTAGGATTTTCTATATAGTGTATCATGTCATCTGCAAATGGTGGAAGTTTCACTTCTTCCTCACCAATCTGGATGCCTTTTATTCCTTTTTCTTGTCTGATTGCTGTGGCTAGGATTTCTAGTACTATGCTGAGTAAAAGTGGTAAGAGTGGACATCCTTGTCCTGTACCTGATCTTAAGGAGAAAGACCCCAATTTTTCAACACTGAGTATGATGTTAGCTGTAGGTTTTAAATAGATGAACTTTATTATGTTGAGGTATATTCCCACTACCATACTGTGTTGAAAGTTTTATCATACTTTGTCAAGGGATTTTTCTGCATCTATTGAAAAGATCATATGGTTTTTATTCTTTCTCTTATTGATGTATGGTATCATGTTGACCGATCTGTACTACTAAACCAGGAATAAATCCCACTTGATTGTGGTGAATGATTTTTTTAACGTATTGTTGGATTTAGTTTGTTAATATTTTGTTGAGGATTTTTCCATCTATGCTCTACAGAGATACTGGCCTGAAGTTCTAAACTAGAGAATTCTTGAAGAAAAGATAATCAAATTTAAGTCCTATCTAAATAGCTAATTTACTAAAATTTTGAGCTTTTAATCTCTTATTATTAAACAAATTTACCTTTTACTTTTATAAAACTAGTTTACTTTAAGTACTTGAAATAAATAGGATATATCTACCCAATATTATTTTGGGGTCTTTGGTTGGAGCTTGCTGAACTTCTTAGAATGCTTATAGTTTTCAACAAGTTTGGAAAATTTTTGTCCAGTATTTCTTCAAATACTGTTTTTCTGTTCCTCACACAGACACCCCACCCAACCTGTGAAATACATGCAGTATGGGTGGGAAACTTTTCCTGCTACAACAAAAATTTTAAAAGATCCTGTAGTTGTTTCACAGTGTAACTTCTAACTAAATGATGTACTTCTGACTGACAATATTTCAGGTAGGGTAAGGAACTATTTTACTTCCTCCTAGCAGAGAAAGCTATCACCTCTTTGAACTTCACCTAGGCTCTAGAATGGTGGCCATCTCTAGCAACTTAATTACAAGACCAGAACTTTTTCTTGATTCTCTTAAACTCAGTCTAAATTCATTACAAAATTTACTTCTGGAGGTTTTACTAGTTGTCTCTATTGCTAGTCTACAAAATTCACCTTTAATCTTTAGTAACAATTTGAGTGCTCTTAAAATGTTTCTATTATATTCAGGGTAGACTCTTAATTCCCAAATGATTCTATAAAGAGCCAAAGAAATAGAAGGATGGCAAACTGTTGGATTATATTACCTTTTATTTCTTCATTGCATTTCTAGGCAGTAATCATTTAAAATGTTCCTCCAAACTCCCTCTCAGAAATGGATTTGTTCCCAAAGACTCTTTATTTAAATGTCATAAAGATCTACTCTTCTGAGTGATATGAGTGCCTCACAGTAGTCTGGCTCTGAAGTTGTTTGCCAACTCTCATTTCTTCTAATGTAAATGTACGTGGAGGTTAAGAATAAAATACTAGGTTTATGGATCTAATGTGGGGAATCATCAGCACAAAATGTAACCATATTCTGTTCTCTACTTGATATAATGGGAAGAGAAAATCAGAAAAACCCTTCAGATAACATTTTATGAAGAACTGACAAAATGAACCTGTGAAAGATATTCTTTTGACTGAAAGTTCTTATGGTCTATGTGTAAATGTCTGGTTAATTTAAATGACTTGTTATAAAACTAATGATGCAAAAAAATTCTACTACTTTTATTCATTACACTGCTAAATACTAACATGGCTTTTGGAAATACAAACCCATATACTTCCTTACCTGGGATTGGAACAAGGTACTCTTTGAGTGTTCACATTATCGCATAAGGGTTCTCCTCCATGATAGATACCTGTTCGAACATAGATCTTAAAAAAGAAAAAAAAGAGGATGTGTATAAAAATACATACAAACATAATATATACACACATTGCAGAACCAATATTATTACACAATCCCTTTAGGCCAGGTATATAATTCAGAGTTTTTCATATTATAGAAAGATAAATTGGTACATATACTAAATATCACTGCATATTCTTAGCAGTTGCAACAGTACTCCATAAAGACATTAATATTTCTGCAACAAAACATATGCATATTTACACTAAATGGGATATATAAAAGCTATAAAAATTCTTGCTTCAGGTTAGGTCAGGTTTTGCTGCCAAATGAATTCTATAAAACTCATGGTTTTAAGGACTTAGATTATGGAAATTAAAATGATTAGAATATTAGAATTATGGATATTAGCATTACAGACAAAGGACTGTAAATGGTACACAGCTAAGGGAGAGGAGTGGTTTTCTAGCTATCTGAAAACAGCGCAGGCCAACAGATTATTATACATAGTTCAGTAAAAAAGTTTATGTAATTTATATAATAAGCATCAACCCTTGACTTTACCTTGTCAATGTCTCGAATATTTACATTCACATAGGTTGCACAAAGGATTTTTATTCTGAGTGCACTATTTATAACCCAAAGGGATTTTGTAGATGTTTCTCCATTCATATATGGTGTAGCTGTGGAGATGCGTCTGGAATATGAAGGCATTGTGAAACAGTCCATTGGCAGTTGGGAATAAAGGCTTTCTTTAGCCATCAGCATCAAATTGGGCATCCTCCCCAGCATTATACAGCTTCTTATGTACTGTAAAAGATTAAGAGGGGAGGGAAAAAGCCATTTCTTAAAAGGTGTTTCATTTTAAAAGCAACAAACATGTAAGCAAAAATAAATAAATAAATAAATCAGAAAGAAAGAAAGAAAGAAAAAAAGAATTAAAAACAATGACCAGAGGATACTCATTATGAAAACACTGTTTATATCTGAACAATGTTAATCAGCTTATCCATGTATCTATAGTCGGACTCGAAATATCAATATATAAAATCTAAAGAAAAAAAAGCATCTGTTCTCTCAAATTCATCATCAATCTCTCAAATTAAATACAGCATTTTTTTTTAACTTAAAAAAATTTTATTTATTTATTTCTTTGAGAGAGAGTGAGAGAAAGAGAAAAAGCACAAGCAGAAGGAGAGGGAGAAGCAGGAACCCCACTGAGCAGGAAGCCTGATGTGGGGCTTGCTCCTAAGACCCCAAGATGATGACCTGAACTGAAGCAGACGCTAAACTGACTGAGCCACCCAGCTGCCCAAAATAACTAGAGTATTAAAAATAAACTTATGAAGCTATTCACTAATACTAATCATTGAATTTTCAAAATGTCCTAAAAATACAGATACTTGTCCCCAACTTTTACATTTCACATTAATATTTTTGAAGCTTGTTACTCACCTTATACTGACTTAGAGGATATTTCTCAAGGAAGTATTCATCACATCCACACACTTTTAAAATATACTTGCCCTGATATTCTAAAACACAGAGTTTGAGTTGTTCAGATGATAGCAACATACTTCTGGTTTTTTTCCTGATTGCTTCAGCAATTACTTGTTCTGGCACACAGTCATGGTTGATTTTCAGAGTATACTTCTGCTTGTCATTATTTGGAGAAACTATTACCCAAATCACCACTATTATTTGCCCTATAACAGGGAAACATTATTAGATGCAATCACCATATATATTTCATTTTTCAAGAGACAAATTTTAAAAAGTATGTACTCTGTACTACCATTATTCTAACCATAATCAGAAATGACTTATAATCAATCTAATTAAATACAGGTAAATATCAGGCAGAAATCACAAATCTTTCAAATATGACAGGGCTGCCCGGCCATGCCCAAATCTCATGTTTCATGACAAGTATGCAGAACTGTCACAATACCTGAGGTCAAGCTAATTTCCATTCTAAGCTGCATCACATACTTCCTGAGTACAACCCCTGTGAAGGGTGACTCATGATGGTATCAAAGGTTCAACAGTACCTAAAGTAGAAGAGTTTTTGGCAACTATGGGAAAGAATCATGGAGACTTAATGCAAATTCTGAATCAGAAGGAGAGAAAAGGTGGTGGAAGAAGGGAAAGAATATGAATTTTTAAATGTTTTCCTTTTAAGATCAATTAAGCTGGGAGGAAGGAGCGAAGATGATGAAAATGGAAAGATTAAAACTACGGTAGAGTGGTCCAGGTGTTCACAGTATAATTTTCAACTTTTCTGTAGGAAAAGTTTCATAAAGAATGTTGGTGGAAAATGAAGAGAGACTTTCACTTTAGAAGGTATGCTAAAGTAGAAAAGAATTTCAAATGAAGATTTTTACATTATACTGCTTTAAACTATTTTGAATAATAAGAGTGAAATAGTAATAAGATGTCTTAACTCATCTACCAACAGAATTTTGTATTTAATAGTGTGTGAAAGCTAACTTACTCTAAAACTTCAAATTGAAAACTTCACTTTGTTATCTTGAAAAATACAGAATGTTTATCTGATACAAAGGACATTTCCATTTCCCCAGAGTGTATAAATTTCCATGTTCACTTAATTCTAGAAATTGATATATTAAATGTCAAAAGTCAATCTATATATTATCACTCGATCAGATTTAATTATTGCATTTAATATCAAGAAATTTATTTATATGCAAAGTTTTCCCAAAATTTCATAAAGTATTTCTATTTACATTTTTTATTTGTAAAAAGATAATCAGTTGTAACTGTGTAACAATGAATTTCAAACGCAAAGTTCTTTAGGTTTATTGTTAAGATATATAATTCACCAGGATCAGCACTGTACGTTCACAATTCAGTCAATAAATATTTATTACATGCATATATATTTGGCACTCAGCCATATCTTGTCAGTATAAACAGTCCCTGTCTTCAAGAAGCTTCTCACCTAGGTGAGATAAAAGGAGATAGAAATTTTTACTATAGTGACCAATTATGGTAGATTGACAAGTTTCTTACCTTTATCTAACTTATTATATATGTGCTTTGGCAGTTCTGGTGAAGATTCTACATTTGGAGGATAGACATACATTGCTCTACTATGAGGTGAATTAAGATCCCGAAGATCCACAGCTTCTTTACAAACATTCAGAATATTTCTTCGGAAGTCCTGTACTTCTGGATCTTTAACCATATCAAATTCACACACTGGCATGCCAATAGCAAAACCTTAAAAAAATTATATAAAGAATATAACATTCTCTTAAACATACAGTACAAACATGTTTCTTACAAATGGGGTACTTGACACATTTGGAAGATTACAATAAAGAAGTCTCTCTGGGTTTAAAGAAATTTTGATGAACACATAAAGTAAGAGTTGACAAAGACTCAAATATTTTTAACATATAACACATAATATATTCCCGCAGCTTGGAGAAAAGGAAGCAGACATCCATGTAATTTTTAAAAAGAGTAACAAAACCAAACTGGGATATAACAACTTTCTTAAAGAAAAATTTATAGGATATTATTAAAAATAGTTCCTTGGCCAAGTAGTCAAAAAATACTTTTGATTTGTAATGGTTTTTATTTCAAAATCTATTTATTTAAGGTTACAAAGGCAGTTAACAGATTCAGACAAATATTTTAGTAATGAGAAAATAGTTAAGTTTCATAGTTATTTGCTTTTAGAATAGGACAACAATGCCATTGAGACAAAAACTGTCATACCAATTTCTCGATTGAGGATCTTTTCTTCTCGGTTGCCTACTGGCTCAATTACTTTTAAAAAGGGTTGAAAAAGCCGAAGGTCACAAAGTCGTCTTGTTTCATCAAAAAATTCTTCCCTTTCTGCTTCTTGGGTAACACTTACGAAAATGTAAGAAGATTCATCTTGAAGAAGTTGATGGAGAGGGTACTTTCTTGCTTCTTTAAATAATTCATGCTTTATAGTTATTAATGTAGCCTCACGGAGGCATTCTAACGTCACTATCATTCCATTTGGTAGTAAACATTCTACTAGGATTCTTGGGGGCATCAAGTGGATGCCCCACAGTTCACCTGATGATGGTCTTGGAGGCATTGTTCTGATCCTTTCCAAGTTTTACATATAAAACTATTTTAAGGAATTAGATGAGTGGCTGTCCCAAAGCAGAAATCTAAACCAAAGGGGGAAAAAAAATATGTTAAAAGAAAAACTACAGGAAAATATATTTATGGCATTACTAAATGTAAAAACTCATTTTCTGTAGTTTGAATTGATTAGGGTATTAATAATGCATCTTAAATATTTTGACAAGGACTCTTGCTCCAAATTAGGCTGAAAGAATGGATTCCAAAGGAGGAATTAGAAAAAGCACTTGTATTTAATTATTTAATAAAATCATTTAGTTAAAAACGTATTATTTTAATAGATTTTTTAAGGTCAGGTCTTACCAAGACAGAGCCGACCCTATGGGAAGAACATTGAAACTAAAATTCCCATCACATATCACTTTTATCATTCTATTTTATGGAGCAACAGAATTTGGACTGGAAAGATCATGGGTCCACTGCTCTCATTTTAAAGGCGAGTAAAGATGAGAGAAGTCAAATCTTCCTTTTCACTCCCTATCTCTCTACCCTATGGTAATGAGAAATTACATGGCTAGTCTTTTTCTTAAATTAACCTTTGTGATCTCCTTCTTTGTATTATTGTCAAGTGACATCTTAGACCATTCTGCTTTTAGAGTCTAATTTGTGTATATATTCACTATAATATAAAGTGTCATCAATGCATTTTCCTTGAGATACGATGATAAATTTGAATGATCCATCTACTTTATCAAATAACCCAGCCCTAATACTTCTGATTGAAATGAACTGATCTACACACAAATGAGATCCACTGACTCTCTTTGTTAGTAAAATGTTTTAACAGTGTTAAGTACTTGTTATATTTTTAAAAAATACAAAGTATTATTAGGATTTGAAGTCCTCATTTTTAAATATGTCAAAAATCTCTGGGATTCTTTAGAAGATACTACAAAATCCACAAAGCCACAAGTTTATTTTTTGTTGTTCATATTTTCTTTTATTGAGCAAGCTATACTATAAAGGCACAGGAAAAGGTAAACTGAGAGACTATAAAAAAGAAATGAAAGCTAGAGAAATGAATCAAAAGGTCCCAGATTAACTTACTATATTTGATTATTCTATCGGGCACCATGGACAACAGTCATACATGATACTTTGTTTATTCACTAAAAATGTATTGGAGCTAAAAAAAAAAAAAGTACTGGGGCTTTTCCACAGGACCATGTTAGGTCCTGGGAATATGATAATTTGAAGATGACAGACAGGGCCCTTGCCCTTCCAAGGCAAAGTCAAAAGTATGAAGATTATGGGTTTGTTGGGTATAGGATAATTAAATACACAGATAATTAAATCCAGAAACTTGTCTTTTCTGACTCCTGTATGTCATGCCCTCAACATCAACAAACCGTTAATTCTATCTCCAGAATCTGCATACTCCACTACTACTCTTAGTATCTTCGGTAAGGCCACAATATTTCTTGTCTGGACCACTACTTAGGCCTAAATGGTGTCCCTGGATCTAGGATTGCCCCCTACAATCCATCTTTCACCTTACAGCCAGTGTGAGCCAGAAAGGGCAACAGGGTCTACTTTGAGCAGACTTTTTTGCTGTCTCTAGGTTGCAAACAAGTACTTATAGTATGCTTCAAAGTTCCAATACATGAAGGAGGTGAGAAATAGAAACAACAAAAATTTCAAACCCTCCCCATCTCTAGAAATATAGAAATCAGCTGGAAGACAATAGAGAATGTAAAAACGATTTTTAATAGTTGAAAATGTTTCTTCAAACTTATAAGAGACCCACTGAAGTTATAGGATTTAAAACATAATTATTCTATTTCTTACATTTCTAAATGAAAATTCATTGGTTAGTAAAAAGACCAGATGGACCAATCTGTGGGCATAATTATAGAAGTGACTGAAGCTAAGCTTTTTAAAACATACAAAAAAATTTGAAGAATGCAAGGGAAATGCCAAATGACTACTTTTAAATGATGACCTGCCTGCACAAAAAGTTCAAATAACAACAAAACCAAACCACAAGCCACACCAAAACAGCAGCTGTGTTTATAGTTTTCTTTGTTGAATGGTGCTAATAGGTCCACATTATGGAATCACAAGGGCAACTATTTTATATAATAAATAACATCTGAGTCTCATATGTTCCCTAAAAATTAGCAAAAGAGAAGGCTAGTATAGCAGAGAGATTACTGGTTCTAATCTTTATCCTACTATAGTATATTTATGGTCAGTTAACGATTATTGAATATCCAAGATACACCCTTCTCATTAAGAGAATAAATGTGATCATAGCCATAAAACACACTTGGAGATTCTGGAAGGCAGGCAATGGCTGGCACTGTGGTAGTACTAAATAGAAGAGAGAGGATATTTGTCTTCTGATGTCAGGCCTTACTCTGTACAAATCATTAGCTCAGAGCTCACAAATGTTAGATACAGATTTTGAATCCAGGTCTAGATGATTTCAAAGTACACACTGTAACCATGCTGCTATTTGGTTTTCAGTTATGACCAGGTAATACTCATTGGTGGTAAATAAGAAAATGGGCTCTAAAGTTACACTGGATTCAAATTCTCACTGCCTTAGTAAATAGCTGCTTTGCTTCGGTTTAATTCATCTCACTGAACTTCATTTTCCCCATCCTGTTTTGTTAAGTTGGGATAATGGCAGAAAATTCATCAGATTGTTGTATGAGATAATATATGAAAAACATGTAAGCAAAGAGACTGGCATACAGTAAGCATTCAATAAATGTTAACTATTAATAAACCTGCAAAGTACACCCACACTACCTTTTCAAGCTTATGAATTATCCAGGGCTGGCGCCAGATAGGGATTGGAAAAAGGAGCTTGAGTTCTTTTACAGTGGGAGGCAAGTAATAAGGAGCCTTATAAAGGAGTGCTAGTTTCAAGAGCTGAACCTTGAAGGTAGCACTGGTAATGCCATGCTCACCTACAGGACTGGAATAGTACTGAGTGGCTCAGAGGCTGGTACTTTCATAGCTGTCTCTAGTTTCCTGGACTCCTAATATTCCTATTGAAATAGTACAGTTATCTACAGCTTAAGTAAGAAATCCCTTGCTAACCCCCTCTGCCTTTTTTTGGAGGGATATCTACTTGTTCTGGGCTCTAAGCTAAATGTGCTATGAAAACTAAGGTAAATAAATGTTTTCACTTCGGTTGTTGAGGGACTCAGAGTTCACTGGGGAATGAAAGATAAGAACAACGTTGACAATGAAAAATTGTTGTAGGACAGAATATGAATTTAAGTCATGGGAAATCTCCAACTGCTTGAGGAGGTTAGGGAAGGCATCAGAAAGGTAAAATTTAAGTAGAATATTATATATTATTAGGGATCGCAGGAAAGGTACGGGCAGCTTGGACATGAGGAAAGTGTTTTAGATTGCCACAAGAGTATGTGTGCAAAATCACAGACCATGAAAAAACACATCCTGTTACCAGCAATACAAGTTGTTTTTTATTACTTGAGTTTGAAGTGCATGGGAATAAGTAGGGTTTGTAGCAAGGAGGGAGAGAGGAGAAGTAGGCAGGGGCCAGAAAGGTGCGCAGATTCCTTGTTAAGGAGTTTGAATTTTATGTAGTATGCTGTAAGTAAAGGGAGTCTTCTAAAGTATTTTGAGCAAAAGAATATTTCATTTTTTTCATGATTTTAAATTTCAGATTTCTAAAAAAAAGCTTCTCTTCAAATAACAGGATATAATCAAATAAGCATTAAACCAAGGTGTAAAAATGGTATCTTCTCAATTCCTCTAATTTTGGGGGAAAAAAATCCCTAGAGTTAAGAAATCAGCATATGAAACTAAATATGCATATGTAATTAAATAAAAGGTCCTTTAACTATAGAAGAAATTAAATGCTGATTAATTAAATCATAAATTAAATGCTGATAAAGAAGGTGGAATTATCTAATGCAAGTGCATAATCTATTTACAAAGGAACTTATTTGAAAAGCAATAGAGTGGGATAAATCACTATAAAGTTAATATTCAATTTAATCTCTATAATTTGGCAGTTTGAAGTCACAACATGTATTCACTAAAAATAAAATATTTTAAGAGTAAAGAACTACTTTATTGGTTTTTTTCCTTTTCTTTACAAACCCTTGTGTTGAGTGCTGACTTTCCATAGATTGCTATGAACTTTATTCCACTATGTGGGAAACCCTGACCCAGAAGTAGGGTCTGCCAATGGTTTAGCACCAGGTTCCCAATCAATGTATACTGAGTGACCCGTGAGGGGTAACCCTTTTTTTGGTGTGACCCATTTCCTGGAACAAGGGGCTCTGCACTGGACCTCAGCCTTAACACTACTGAGCGTTTGAATTCAGTATGTCAGAACGAAATATTCTAATACTGAAAAGTCAGAACTATTCAGGACTCTTAGGAAATAAGTTGGTTTTACTTTTCCTAACTTTCTATATATCTAATGATAAGCTATTTCAATTGGGGTGCTCCTGCTTTCTTAAAAAAGTAGATATAACTCACAATTTACCCTTTTCTTGATGCATTACATCCTTATTATAAAACCAATTACTGTGCTATTCTGAAACACAATACAGCAAAGCACTTCAGTATTATTGAAGAGTCTGAGTGTATTTTTGGCCCTACCCCCAAAGACCCCAGATTGGAGATGATGCTTTTTAGTGGCCCCCATCTCCTTGTTTACCAGCCAGCCTGTGACAGTAGCCTCCTCTTCTTCAGTTACTCACTGTGTTTGGGCAGGAAGCACTTAAAGTCTTTGGTTCTTAGAAGGCCTGAACCCACATTTGTTTCTTGGTTAGGGCAAATGAGGGCAATGGTATTGCTCAGCTGGAGTAAAGACAACTTTAAGCACAAAATAGACAGGAGAAATGAACAATAAAAACAGTCTCAGAGTCTCCACTGTCACTTGACTTTTATTAGTTGAGGGGTTCTTAATTCATTGGACAATTTAAACATCTAATGTGCTCTCTTTCAGCCCAAGAAGACAATGACATTTTAACAATTTGTTTTTTAATTCAAAGCCTTTCTTTGCTTATATTAATATAACAGTATTTTCAGG